ATAAAAGAGGAAACAAACACAAATACAAAGCTATAAGGTGCTCAGCGAGCTCAAGGGTGATAGAACTAAACACATATTGAACATAATAAACAAATGATTAGTGAGCTTAAATAAGGCACTAACAAAAATCTACCTGAATTAAAGTAAACAATATGAAACATGAATGGCCAGTTTAGAAAAGAATTAGATTACATGAAAAGGTACCATATAGAAATCTGAGAGATAGAAATTCTATTGAAAATATGGAGAGCAGAAGTGAATAATGTCAGAAGAGTGTTAGAACTAGCAGTTCATACAGGTTACCATATACTCAGACATACTGTAAAAACAAGAGATGATGAAACATGATTCTATTAGCTACTAGATGATGCAAAGAAGACTGACTAAAGATTTAAATGGAATTAGTAAAAAATCAGTATTGGTAAATGATAGCAGAAAACTTTCCAAGTAAGGGGAGGAATTTAATATAGAGGTAAGTGAGGTATACAGAACCCAAAATTGCCACCATCCAGAAAGAACTTCTGTACAATATATTATAGTCAAAACTGCAGAAGTCCACCCCAAGGACAGAATCTTAAAAGCTGTTAGAGAAAAGCAACAAGTCATTTATAAAGGCAAGCCCATTAGAATCACAGTAGAGTTCTCAGCACAAACCCAAAATGCCAGTAGAGCTTAGAGTGAAGTGTTTAAAGCCCTAAAAGAAAACAACTTCCAACCCAGACTAATATATCCTGCAAAACTTTCAAAACTGATGAATAAAGACTTTCCATGACAAAGAGCACTGTAAGAAATTCATGACCATTAAACTAACACTCCAAAAAATTCTCAAGGATCTCGAACAAAGAGACAAAGAAGCTAATGATGCCAAAAGATCTAGTGGAATGAATACATTAGGTATGATGAGCTGTTAAATAGAAGGGAAAAAAAAGGAATCAACAAGAAGATAATGCAGTGCTAGGAAAACATCAGTCCTTTTCAGTAATAACCCACAATGTGAATAGACTCAATTCCTCAACCAAAAGATACTGGCAGACTTAATTAAAAACCAAAACCCAACAGTATGAGAGACATATGAGAGACACATAAAAGAGACACATCTGAGCCAGAAATTCACAGACTAAAAATCAAAGGATGGAAAACAAGATTCTGTGCAATAGGACCCCAGAAGCAAGCAGGAGTAGCTATTCTATTTTCATACAAAGTGGACTCCAAGCCAAAAATAATTGGAAGAGGCAAAGAAGGTCAATACATATTAGTTAAGGGAACAATTAAACAGGAAAAAATAACAATTATAAATATTTATACCAGTATACCAATGTATATTATCAGATCATAGTACACTTGAACTAGAAATCAATGGCAAAAGATGCCACAAGAATTTTGCACATAGTTGCAGATAAAATAACATACTCTTGAATAGTAAATGGGTCACAGAAGACATCAAGGAAAAAATTGAACAGTTCCTAGAAAAAAATGATAATGGCAGTACAACATAGCAAAACCTATGAGACACAATGCAAGCAGTCCTAAGATGAAGTTTACTGCTGTCAATGCCCACATTAGAAAAATATACAGAGCCTAAATAAATAACCTAAGGATGTACATGTCACAACTGAGACTACACCCAAATCTAGAAGATTAGAAGTAACTACTTCAAAAACATGTATTCCTGTAAATTGGGGAATCCAGAAAAAAATGGATAGATGCCTAGATATATGAATTTCCAAAACTAAACCCAAAAGATATAAAAACTCTGAATAAACAAATAACAATGAAATTGAAGCAATCGTGTTTTAATAACCTACCAACTATAAGAACTCCACTGTATTTACTACTGACTTCTATAAGAATTTTGGAGTAGATCTGATGCCAATTACTCCTCAAACTCTATTGAAATTGAAAAGGAGGGCCAGGGATTTAGCTCAGCAGTTCGGTGGCCTGCCTCACAAGCGCAAGGATCAGAGTTCGATCCCCGGTACCAAAAAAGAAAAAGAAATTGAAAGGGAAGGAGTATTTCAAAAGTCATTCTTGGAAGCCAGCTTTACCTTGATTCCAAAACTAGACAGGGACTCAACTAAAAAATAACATTATAGGGCGATCTCTTTAATGAAAATAGATGCAAAGATCTTCAACAAGATACTGACAAACAAAATCTAAATAATCTTTAAAAAGATCATATATCATGACCAAGTAGGCTTCTTCCCAGGAATGCAAGAATAGTTCAACATATGTAAATCACATAAACAGAAGGACAAAAATCACATGATCATGACAACAGATGCAGCAACAGAAAATTCAGAGCATGATAAAATCCTTGAAGAGTATATGTACAGAAGAACCTTATCTCTTTCTAATAAAAGCCATTTATGACAAACTTACTATCAACATCATATTAAATGAAGAAAAACTAAAAGCTTTTCCACTAAAATAAGAGACAAGACCAGGATGTCCACTATCATCACATCTGTTCAATATAGTACTCAAAAAATCAAAACATTGCCAGAGCAATCAGGCAAGAGAAAAAGTAAAGGGCATATGTATAGAAAAGGAAGAAGTCAAACTATCCTTATTTGGAGACAACATAATCCTTTACATAGAAAACTCAAACATTCCACCAAAATACTATTAGAACTAATAAACAAATTCCACAAGTTAGCAGAATAGAAAATAAATATACACAAATTAATGTCATTTGTATATACCAACAATGAATTTACCTAGAAAGAAATTAGGAAAACAATACCATTTACAGTAGCTTCAAGAAAAGTATATACTTCAGGATTAATCTAACCAAGGAAGTCAAAGACATCTATAATAAAGACTATAATACTAAGGAAAAGTATATCAAAGAGGACATTGGAAAATGGAAGCATAATCCCCTATTCCTGGATGGGCAGAACCAATATTGCAAAAATGACCATACTACTGAAATTAACATACAGATTTAATGCAATCCCAAACAAAATACCAATAGCTTTTCTCAGAGAATTGAAAAAAAAATTTTTAACTCATAGAAAACCAGAAGAGACCCAGAACAGCAAAAGCAATCCTGGGCAACAAGAACAAAGCAAGAGGCATTACAATTTTGTACTTCAAGTTATACGACAAAGCTACAGTGATTAAAAATAGCATGGTACTGGCACAGAAACAGACATGTGGATTAATGGAATAGAATGGAGGATGCACACTCTAGATATAACCTTTTTAGCAAATGGTGCTGGAAAGGTGGCTATATACGTGCAGAAGATTAAATCTACAGGGGACCCTCATGTTACAACTGGCCTCATATATGAACAACTTGGATTATGACTGGAATTGTAGTTTTTAGCTTGCCACCAAAGTTTTGAGTTATGGCCAGACGTGCTTGTGTGGGGTTAATTGAAAAATCCTGGGCCAATGTCTAAGAACACTGAGATCCGTCTGGAAGAAAGTGTGGCCTAAAATTATACAGGAGGGATTTTGAAGGCTGTGCAGAGGAGCCTGAGCCTTCAACTGACCCTGTGGTTGATGACACTATCCCTATAGCAGAGTCCACAAGCTTGCAGGTACACAGTGGTTATGTTGAAGAATTGGAGAAGGAAGACTTAGAGGAATTTTCTACAGAGGAACTTCATCAACTTTTGGCTGAGTAACAGAGAATGACAGCTGAGGAGCTTTTGGAAGAAGGGTAGTATCAACAATCACTGCAGGAAACTTCTTCCTCTGAAATAAAGGAAATCCTGAAAAAATGGACAGAGCTACAGACATTTGTAGAGAAGACCCACCCACACAGAAAAAAAAGCCAATTGTTGCATTTATTTGCCTAATGACAATGTTACATCATACTACAGAACAGTGTTACAGAAAAGACTGAAACAGACAACCTTAGAACAGTTTTTAGTTCTGAAAAGGTTGAGAACTTATGAGTTAGAAGCAGATCCTAGTGGGCTACAGACTCTCCCCAAGAGAGAAAGGGCACAAGAGAACCAGATTCTTGTGTTCTTGTAAAAGGGGACTCGCCTTCCAAATAATAACCACTTTTATTTCATCCTCCCTTCCTGCAAGTGAAAGATGTCAACTTGAATGGTGAGTACAAACTGAAATTGCTGTTTCCAGTAAATGAGGCACATAACATACTATTATTAGTATATTATACACACACACACACACACACACACACACACACACTCACATATAAATTGAATTTTGGGAAACTTTAACGGTGCTGCCAACTTTGGAAAAAGTCATCCCAATTTACTGTGTTGGCTTGGCATTGTACAGAAATGGACAACCATATTGGTCTAGAAATGTTAATTTTTTTTTATTTTATTTTTTTTCCATGTGTACAGGGGTAACACATCGTACTAAATATGTAAGGTCATATCTACGTGGGTTTGATTACAGAAACTAATAAAGTATTCTCTAAATAATGAAAAAAGAATAAGATAAAACTATAAGAGAGAGAAGCAATTTAAATATGTTCAGGGACCATTTTCATCTCCAGAATTAAGGATTATTTTGATGTTACATCATTGCCTTTTCTCTTTTACTTTCCTTTTTAGTTTTATTTTAGGATTCCCTATTTTTAATGTTCATACAGAGATTTCTTTAACTGAAATACCGAATAGTTTCTTTGGTGTGAAAAACTATAATAGTACACAGGATCCTAATGAGACAATTAATAATGTGAAATAGGAAGTAAAGGGCTAAAGGTGTAAGGAAAGTGGGAAGGGTGGGGGAAAGGTAATAAGGGAGAGGAA